GTGTGTGTGTGTGTGTGTGTGTGTGTGTGTGTGTGTGTGTGTGTGTGTGTGTGTGTGTGTGTGTGTGTGTGTGTGTGTGTGTGTGTTTGGTGGATTCTGGAGGGAGTGTGTTTTGTTCTGTCCCATAGGCCCGTCGTGTTTTCTTTTTGTTGTCTTTTCTGGGGGATGCCAAGAGTGTGGGCACCAATATTGGAATCATGTACGTAGGGGCAGGAAGCAGCAATGCCAGGCTGGTAATGAGACAAGTGAGTCGCCATCCTTCCCCGGCTCCCCCGACTTGTCCCTTATCTTCCTTTCTTCCCTTCCCTCTCTCTCACATGGAATGAGAAAGTCAAAGATAACCGCAAATGAGAGTGTGCTCACATTCCGTTAAAATTGGAACAATACAGAGAAGATAAGTTAGCATGGTCCCTGTGCAAGGATGGCACGTTTAAATTAGAAAATGGTCCAATTTTTGTTGCGGACAAGGGGAATCCAACTATTTGATTAAAAAACAAAGCATTGCAATGACCCCAACAGATGTCGACACAATGTGATTTCTGCCCAGTGCTCTGAATGTCAAAGTGAAGAGATCCAACCAAGCGCGGTCCGACTTAAGGATGTTTTTAAATTTTGATGTCTCAAGTACCTTTTGGGATTTCAACTTTGCTGCTGTACCAAGTCACCATTCACGCAGTTTTTCAATGGCATGAGCTCTTTTTTTTTTTTTTCGGGTTAAAAAAATAGGTCCTTATGGTCCTGGCTCCTTGTTCATTCTGGGGAGCATCAGTCCAGTTCCATTACACCGGCAAGTCAACATGAAGACAATCATAACCCTCTCCATGCTTCCGTCTGTCCTGGCCGAAGGACCCCTGATCAGCATCGACTCCTCTAGCAATCGAGGGATTGATTGTCAGGGATTAATTGTCAGCTTGTCATTCCATACGACCACTCAGTCAAGACCGTCGACATTACATACTTCACCCAGAATCTCAGAGGAAGGACTCGTGTGAGCAGGGTTTCCTCGCATTATCTCTCAGTTCTTCCACTTCACGCAGTTCTCAGGGACGACTGTTACTCTCCCTGGCTAGGAAGGACTGGTCTGACCAGGCTTTCCTCAGGTTTCCTCACATTTGGGGAGGGAGGGTGGGTAGGACTTGCGCGGTCGGAAGTGGAGGCCAACATGATGGGGGGTTGCGGGGGGGGGAGAGGGAGGAGATGTGGTGAAGCGAGGGGGGAATCACGCATTTTGGGAGGGGAGGACATGGCTAAGTGGGAGAGGACTCACGTGAAGGTGAGGGGATTGATGTGAACCCCCTCCCCTTCATGTTGGGTTGCCTGGTTGGCTCCCAGGTGGCTCGAGCGCATTTCGGCACGGGGTGTCGGGGGGACCTAAATCAGGAGGTTCGGGTGGCCTCCCAACACATACCCTGCAGGACTTGAACCAAAAAAGGGAAGGAAAAAAAGGCGGCCCAAAAAAAAAATTCCCAGTTCGCAGCCTGCAGGGCATGTCAAGAGGCCACCCGGGTCCTCCCGACCCCACGTGGCGAAATGCACTCAAGCCACCCGGGAGCGAACCAGGCAACCTAACCGGTCGGGATGCCCGGGAACCACCTCGGGGTCCATGGCCCCGGGGAGCCTGGCGACCAGTACTGACGTATAATACCGTATATACATTCAACCTCCCACACCATTGTCCGCTCGTTGTCCTCACACTTTTCTGAAATGAGTGGGGACAAAGGCTCTCCCCGCACCCCACACATCCCAACCATACCATTCTGTTTGAGCAAATGTCTCCCGCGCCTTTATGATTTGTCCATGTTCTACAGAGGATGCATCGAGGTCCACTAATGCCAGGGAAGCATGAACCTGACGGTAATCGTGGCCAGGTTTGGGCTCTCCTAGCACAAATAACCTAGCACCAGTGGGGGCTGGTCTCAAGTCATAAGTCCATTTTCATAACAGGGATAGAAGCAGAAATGGCAGCGAAGTGGTTCAAAGAGACAATGGAAGGGACACCAACCTTGACTGATCCATCTCCTGATGCACTCGCAACATGGTCGCCGGAACTGCTTGTTGAGACGTCCCAGATCCTCGATGTGTGGCCAGCCCCACTCCCCTCTCCATCTCCACCAAACACTCTCAGGCACCTTCCATCTTCTGTGTCCCAAAGTCTCACTGTGTTGTCGCTGCGTTCTCAGATCGTCACGCATGCGCCCATGCAAACAAGTTCACCCTGCCACATGCAAGCGCTCACAAGCAAGTGCCGCACTCCCACATCCACAGCAAGCTCCCCAACCAAGACCCACTCCGCACCTCACTCATGGAAACAGACAAGTCATCATTGCCATCTGTTAGATCTTACCAGGGTAAGTTTCAAGAGAGAAAGTCAATGAGCAGATGTCTGCCGTCCGAAACATCTCTCCATTTATGCATCAAATTCTTAAGAACTAAGCAGAACCAAATGCAAGTTAACACAACTCATTTGCTCCCAGCCAAAGAAAGGTAGAAGGATCTTGGTGCTGGCATCACTCCCTCTAGCAGACCAGGGCTGGCATTTTCGAAGAAGATGAAGACGAAGAGATAGAGGAAAGAGGAGGAAGAAGAGGGAGGAAAGAGGAGGAAGAAGAGGGAGGAAAGAGGAGGAAGGAGGAAGAAGAAAAGAGGGAGGAAAGAGGAGGAAGAAGAAGAGGAAAGAGGAGGAAGGAGGAAGAGAAGGAAAGAGGAGGAAGGAGGAAGAAGAGGAAAGAGGGAGAGGAAGGAGGAGGAGGAGGAGGAGAAGGAGAAGGAGAAGAAGGAGAAGAAGGAAGAAGAGGGAGGAAAGAGGAGGAGGAAGAAGAGGAAAGAGGAGGAAGGAGGAAGAATAAAAGAGGGAGGAAAGAGGAGGAAGAAGAGGAAAGAGGGAGAGGAAGGAGGAGGTGGAGGAGGAGGAGGAGAAGGAGAAGGAGAAGAAGGAAGAAGAGGGAGGAAAGAGGAGGAGGAAGAAGAGGAAAGAGGAGGAAGGAGGAAGAAGAAATGAGGGAGGAAAGAGGAGGAAGAAGAAGAGGAAAGAGGAGGAAGAAGAGGAAAGAGGAGGAATTTGGACCTTACCACTTAGTTTCAATGGCAGGCAGGAAGTATAACAAACAGCGTACGTTCGCATGCTTCCCCACGTATAGTATAATATAAATACAGGTTAAGGAGGAGGAGGAGGAGGAGGAGGAGGAGAAGGAGGAGAAGGAGACGAAGAAGAAGAAGAAGAAGAAGAAGAAGAAGAAGAAGAAGAAGAAGAAAAAGAAGAAGAAGAAAAGGAAGAGAAAGAAGAAGAAGAAAGAAAAGAAGAGGAGGAAGAAGAAGAAGAAGAAGAAGAAGAAGAAGAGGAGGAGGAGGAGGAGGAAGGAGGGAGAAGGAGGAAGAAGGAGGAAGAAGAAGGAGAAGGAGGAAGAAGAAGGAAGAAGAGGAGAAAGGAGGGAGAAGGAGGGAGAAGGAGGGAGAAGGAGGAAGAAGAAGGGAGAAGGAGGAAGAAGAGGAAGAAGGAGAAGGAAGAAGGAGGAAGGAGAAGGAGGAAGGAGGAAGGAGGAGGAGGAAGGAGGAAGGAGGAAAATGAAGGAGGAAGGAGGAAGGAGGAGGAGGAAGAAGGAAGAAGAAGAAGAAGGAGAAAGGAGGAGGAGGAGAAGGAGGAAGAAGGAAGGAGGAGGAGGAGGAGGAGGAAGGAGGAAGAAAGAAGGAGAAAGGAGGAGGAGGAGAAGGAGGAAGAAGGAAGGAGGAGGAGGAGGAGGAGGAGGAGGAAGAAGAAGAAGAAGAGGAGGAGGAAGAAGAAGAAGAAGAAGAAGAAGAAGAAGAAGAAGAAGAAGAAGAAGAAGAAGAAGAAGAAGAAGAAGAAGAAGAAGGAAGAAGAAGAAGGAAGAAGGAAGAAGAAGAAGAAGAAGAAGAAGGAGAAGGAGAGAAGGAGGAGGAGGAGGAGAAGGGAGAAAGGAGAAAAAAGGAGGAGGAGAAGGAGGAGGAGGAGGAGGAGGAGGAGGAGGAGAAGGAGGGGGAGGAGGAGAAGAAGGAGAAGAAGAAGAAGAAGAAGAAGAAGAAGAAGAAGAAGAAGAAGAAGAAGAAGAAAGAAGACGAAAGAAGGAAGAAGGAGGAGGAAGAAGAAGAAGAAGAAGGAGAAAGGAGAAAGGAGAAAAGAGAAAGGAGAAAGGAGAAAGGAGAAGGAGGAGGAGGAGGAGAAGGGAGAAAGGAGAAAAAAGGAGGAGGAGAAGGAGGAGGAGAAGGAGGAGGAGGAGGAGGAGAAGGAGGAGGAGGAGGAGGAGAAGGAGGAGAAGGAGGAGGAGAAGAAGGAGGGGGAGGAGTAGAAGAAGGAGAAGAAGAAGGAGAAGAAGAAGGAGAAGAAGAAGAAGGAGAAGAAGAAGAAGGAAAAGGAGGAGAAGAAGAAGAAGAAGAAGAAGAAGAAGAAGAGTAGGAAGAAGAAGAAGAAGAAGAAGAAGAAGAAGAAGAAGAAGAAGAAGAAGAAGAAGAAGAAGAAGAAAGGGAGAAGGGGAGCAGGAATAGCTCTAAGAGGACGAGAGCGGAAGAACGAAAGGGAGGAGTAAGGGATGGTCACGAGAGAAGGCCTAATTGTAATGGGGTCAAATCTGCAAGAAAGAGGGGAGATGAGACAAGAAAATGGCTGCAGTACCAGACTGGGGAACTAGTCCCAACAAAGGCAGGGGAGGACGGATAGGATGGTTCCTAGGATTATTACAGCAATAACATGTAGAAGGATGAAGACGAGGAGGAATGGGGATTATAAAGGAGAACGATGAGGGGGGTCTGGATGGTTAGGGCGATGAGGAGGATGGGGTGGGCTTGGAGCGAGGGGCAAGGGGCGGAGGGGTGCAGGGTGGAGAGGTAATGTGTTCAGATTGCTGCACTGGAACTTGAACATTGCACCATCAGGGCTGGACTTGCAATTTACATTGCTTGAGAAAGGGAGAAAGCCGTAAAACTCCTCAACGCAACTAGTACATCAAACCAGGGAGGAGAAGGGGTAGTGACAATTGTGAAAGAAGTGGGCAACAGGTGGGGGGCTAGTATTGAAATCTTGATAGCAGGTTTCGCTCAGAAAAAATGCACAAGATGGGCAACATGCGGGGGTTGGTGAGCACCCACCCGCAGTGCCAACAGTGGTTGTCATCCGGCTTTGCAAAGGCGGTTTGCTGTGGGCTAACAGGGGCAGCAAGATCTTGAATACCAGAGCGTACACGAATCAACTGTGGGGTGGCTGGGTGGGTGGTTTGTTACATTTTTGGAATCGCGTAATGGTTTGTTTCCTCCTCCCATGAGCATATGTATTGACACTCTTTGCCCGCTGGCTAAAAGCTAATAAGGTTGTAAGAACCAAAAAAAAAAAAAAAAAAAAAAAAAAACCTCTGAACACCCAGAACTTACCCAAGCCCTACATCAAACCAGTGGGCTTGCCGACGAACAAACATGGACTCTGCTATTGGGATCGCTATTCTCGTTATTATTTTTTGAATCCGTGGCACTATTGAAATCTATCCCGTAATGACTGACTCGAAAGAGGACAGCAGGCAGACCGCCGAAGGCCAGCGTACATCATTCGTGTGCTAGCACCAACAGCATGCACAGGTATGTTTCAGTTCTGATTTGTGTGGAATGTTGAAAAATATAGCTCAAAAGGTGGGTTGATATCCGAACGTTTTCACTTTCTTTTTTTACAAACAGTTTAGAGTCTTTGGCGGATATTATTCAAGACATGTGCATTTTGTTTTACAAACAGTTGCAATATGGATATCCAAAAAAGACGTTTTCACTTCATTTATCGATCAATTCCTTCTGTACACATGCAACATGCATCCCTCTAGTGCAACCACATCATCACACCGCTTATCAGTTAAATTATTTAATATCTAGGCTGGGCCGTCGTCCGGCCAGGGATGCCCGGGCCAGCTGGGCCGGGGGAGATCACCCGGCAAAACCACGCAGGTCAAAAAAGAGGGAAGGATCTCCCAAAAAAAGAAACTGACTTCAGGCCAGGACTGCACTCGGCCTGAGCAGTCAGAATCTGGACTTACCTTCTTTTTTTTTTTTTTTTTTTTTTACCGGCCTTACCTTCCATTTCGGTGGTGGGTCACCCAGGGGTGTTTGGGGGTATAAAGTTACTCTAAACAGTGACTAGAGGGGTTTAAGAGGGTATATCTTAAGGATTCTTACCTCATTTCTCCTCATTTATTTTTATCTTAAAATTAATAAAGAATTCCAAGGGGACCCCCAGATTTTTTTGAATTTTTCATTTTTTTTAATATTACGCGCTGGTGCTGCCCGGGACCCTGCCCGGCCACTGCCCGGCCTGTGCCACCCGGGAGGGTACCCAGGCAACCTTCCCCCAGCCGGGTCGCCTGAGGACCAGCCTAGCTTCATATATCATTCTCGCCTGCACTTGTTGCCAAATAACTTGAAATATGTGAGGTGAGCTTACCACCCAGTGCACGCAACCCCCCCAACCCGTGCAGGGATCTGGCAGTTCACATCTCAAATTATCTCAAACAGCCTTTTGCTCTTTCATTTCTGGTCAGTTGGCGAGGTCAGGTTTCAAAAAGGGAAGGTCGCCCTCGGGGGCATCCCCTTCCAACTCCCAAGTTAATTCTTAGCCACAAACTGTGACAAACATCACCCGATTGCCAAAGTTTTGAAACCCTTTGAAGTTTCGAAACAAGACAACTAGTTGGGTACAACACAACGAAGCCGAAGTAACTCATGGAGATCAAGGTGACAAACGAGTCTCTGTAATTCACACCATACCTAGAGCCAGAGACGAGAAGGTTGCCTCCCTCTCCAACGAAATCCACACACCTGTCATGATCACAGCCCCAAGAAGGAAACCACATCAACAAGAACATATTATGCGTTACTTTCCACCAAGCCGTCCGAGTCCCGACTTATTTCAACAGCTGTACTGCGCGAACTGGGCAAAGCCACAAAAGTGGATTCTGGTGACACTAATGACCATAAAGTAAACGATTGCTCTCTCTAACAGACCTACCGTCAAGAGGATTGGCCTGAGCCATGCCAGGAGCTAAATCACCAATTGAAAAAAAAAGAGCACTTGAGTCTAACAGAGCTAACCATTGCCTACTAGTCCTGGCAAAGAGGCCCAAACAGAAACCCCTCAGAACCTGATAGTTACACTCTGCACTGTCTGCAGCCTATACAGATAGCCTGCCACCCCTTTCACCCACAGTTGCCCTTTTACTTAATCCACTGTCTGCACATGAAAGGGTACACTGACTAGGTGCATGGAGATGGTTAGAAGTAACTTAGTACCCATGTGAATAGTACAGGATGCAAGACAATGGCTCACGAGTCACAAGCTCATATAGCCATGATCAGACACTGAAATCTAATTTTTCTACCTTTAGCGTTCACAGCATTTCAAAATTCAACGAATGGAATATGTAGAAGCTCCTTTTACCATTTCTGATGGGAAATATTTGCCACTGGCCCACTACAATGTCTACATTCTTTTTAGCTACTCGATTCCATGGCCTTTCAAGTCATTGTTGGAACTATTTTTCTTTGGCCTTTCAAGTCATCGTAGGAACCATTTTTCTTATTATCTGTTGCGTCCGTCAGTACATGGGTCATTTTACTCGAAAGACACCAGATCGGGTTTGAAGCTGCCGCATGGTATTGGCATTTTGTTGACGTGGTTTCGTGTGATTTCTATGTACTATTTACTGGTGGGGGCCTAATTAACACACACTTGGGAGGAGCGAGCCGGGTCAACACTACCCCAAAACCCACCCCAGCGACGTGTGGGTGCCCAAAGGGCGTGAAGCGGGCACCTGAACCCCCGACGAAAACGGTGAATATTTGGCCTGGAACCCCGTTAACCAACCATCTCTCCTGAACCCACCAAAAATAACTTTCTTTTTTACCTCCCTTTTTTTCTAGGGTTTAGGCAGGGCTGCATACCAGGCTTATTACCAGCCGACAGCCAACACTGATGGCCGACCATTCCACAGCCTAACAAGTAGGGTCGACCGTTAGGTACTCTGCCGACCAGTTGCTAGTAGCACCCCACTGATTTCTCTTTTTTTTTCCTGCGTTTGGGGCTGTTCTGTGCTTGCTGAGTACAGC